TCAGAACCTGGGAGACATGGTTCATTTATGGAATGGACATTTCTGTCAGCAAAATAGCTTGGCCTGATCTCAGCTGGGTTCTTATGATCTGTTTTGACCTTACATAGTTTTATGAATAGTGAAAGCTTAAATTAATACGGACATGGAAATTTCAGAGCATTATTACTTCATTGTCCTAACAATTCAGAGATTGGTTTTGGGGGAAAGTGTGGTTTTCTTCCTTCTAGGAAATTTGCTCAAAGTCACCCAGTGAGTATATGGCCGGCAGAGATTCGCACAAAAGAATTATAACTTCAAGTAAATGTTTTTGTTAGAAAATAGGGCAAAGCAAGTGTTCTGCTTTTCTGCTGGTGCCCGGGGTTGTTAGACCATTAGTGTTGGGGGAGACATACATGCATCTGAAGATCAACGGAGTTAAGCTGGGCGACTCTAAAATCAAAGTTGGAGCACTGGCATCCCCAGGGTTCAACAGTCTGCACTCAAAGTGTTTGTGATGACAGGTGGTGGTACACTGCTGGCACGGTCCTCTATTGAGTTTTTCTCTTTTCTATCACCTTTCAGTTTCTACTAGAACCCCCTTAGGGATATTACTAATGAATTAATTGTTGCAAAAACATATACTGGTTCAGTATATGCGCTCAGCACAGTGGGCCTGGAATAGATGTGCCGTGTCCCTGCTGAAATGCTGATGAAGTGGAACAAAATCATCAGGGCTGGAAAGAATGCAGGAAAAAAGCTGGAATATGCATCATGTTCCTTATGGACGTTACTCCACGGAGCATCTTTAATACGAAGGAACAGACTCACGCGGGAGGTACTGACGGCAGTGGGTACCCGGACGCTGAGGACTTGGCACTTGTCTTACCAGTGTAGGAGCTGCCTCTCTCAGTGATGACCCCTGTTAATGTAGCATCTGAGGCTCCGGATCCACAGAGGCAAGCAATTAAAACTAACAGATGCAACCCTCTTCTTGAGGACACCCTCGATTTACAGTAGCAGGGGCGACATTGAACGTAATGGAGAGCACGGCTTGAGAATGAAGATGCACCGATGCACCACCAAGCACAGACACGTCTGAGCAGGGACAGACCACGCGGCAGGAGGTGCTGATAGCCTGCTCGTCAGCAGACTGACGGAGTTCTCTCAAAGCAAAGCTTGGGGGCTCACATTTGCTTATATGTCTATTTAGTTTTTTTAAAAAAGATTTATTTATTTATTTATTTATTTGAAAATCAGAGTCACACAGAGAGAGAAGGAGAGGCAGAGAGAAAGAGGTCTTCCATCCACTGCTTCACTCCCCAGATGGCCGCAACGGCTGGAGCTGCACCCATCTGAAGCCAGGAGCCAGGAGCTTCTTCCAGGTCTCCAACGTGGGTGCAGGGGCCCAAGCATTTGGGCCATCTTCTGCTGCTTTCCCAGGCCACAGCAGAGAGCTGGATCGGAAGTGGAGCAGCCAGGACTAAAACCAGCACCCCTATGGGATGCCGGTGCTTCAGTCCAGGGCGTTAACCCGCTGCACCACAGCGCCAGCTCTATCTATTGTTTTAATTGCATTTGTAATTGGAGCCTAGTACATGTAACCACAGCACTGCATCACACCCATCCACACACAAAGCAAAATAGTAAGATAATTAACCTGGTATCTCTAACCAAATGAATCTGTTCTGAAACATGCAGATGTTTGAATCAGAAAATGTATAGCTTAAACTATCATAAAATTGTGTTTCCTTCTGCAGCCTTAGAGGATCTATCATAATTACAGCTTCCATTAAAGGAAGTAAGTTTGGTTTACAGTTGGACCACAGCATGAAATCTGTTGTCCTGGCTATCAGGGGTATAGCCAGCCTAGTGCCATGGAGGGAACCCTAGCCTAGGAGTTAAGAGTTTTCACATTTTACCTCATGGTAATTAATTTATGCTTCTATGTTTCAAAAATATGTTGAGCCTATACTGTGTCTGTCAGCATGGGGAAAACAAGGGAAATGAGCATAGGACCAAGTCTAATTCTTGCCACTGACAAGCTCATGGAATACTGAGAGAGATGATATATAAAAATAATTATGTTCAGATGTGTTCATATTTGGTAGAAGCACGGGTGTATCAGATTTTGTTACAACAATGGGATACTCGAGGCTGGGGAACTTGATAGGGAAAGGGGGATTATTTAGCACACAGTTTTGGAGGCTGGAAGTGCAGAAATCCTGGTTCAAACTCTGTCCAGGAGCATGTGTGGGAGCAGGAGACCACGGGGTCGACGGGGAACAGAGAGGATGGCATCCCACAGGCCCTGCCACACCCCCATGCCCCCAGGATCCTAAGACTCTCCCGCTGGTCCCAGCCTCTCACAGACCCACTGTCTCCCCCTGCCACACTGAGGTCCCTCGCTTCCAGCACAGAGCTCCTTGGGCGTTTCAGCTGTCCAAATCACAGCAGGGTGCAGGAGACATAAATAGATTTCAGTCAACTGGGAGCAAAGAGTACACGAGTGAGATAATTTTTCCTGGTTCTTGCAGAATGATAATAGAAGGCCAAGGAATGGAATTAGGACATCAAGCAGTGAGCGTAAGGGCAGTGAAGGCCCAGGACGCTGCTCTGGACTCTGGCTTGCCCGGAGCACCTGGAGTGACATGCCCTGGGAGACCTGGCAGTGGTCAGCTTCGCGAGATACGGAAACAGTGTTGAAGCCAAGTGGCTGTTTATGCCCAGCCTGTATTCTTGCCTGGACTGGGAGACCCTGTACATTTTTGTTTCCAAACAGTGCCCAGTGACTGTGTTGAAAGAATATAAGTGAGAGAATACCTGTTCACTATCAGCATTCAGTTCCATGTTATAGTTTTTAATCTGTCATGTTAAGGGTTATGCTGTTAATAAATTAGACATTCAGTGGGCTTCCTGACATACTCTCATGTTCAGTTCGAATCCCAGGAGCATAGGGTGTTGCAAACAGCCCATCTTAAAGAGCCAGGGAAGAAATGCTGGGTCTCTCAGCTTCTCCTGGGGCCTCACTGTGACGCCACGTGCCTCATGTCATTGGTCACAGTGTTTTGCACTTGCTGTTGCGTAATGTATTTATTTTCACTTGCTTAAAAAGCAGAGAAAACACCCACACACGGAGAGAGGGAGGGAGACAGAGAGAGATGATCTTCTGACTGCTTCACTCCCCAAATGCTTGCAACAGCCAGGGCTGAGCCAGGCCAAATGCAGGAGTCAGAACTCAGCCCAGGTCTCCTGTGTGGATGGCAGGCTCCCAGGTACTTGAACCATTGCCTGCTGCCTCCCAGGACGCACACCAGCTGGAAGCTGGATTGGAAGTAGAGCCAGGACTCGAACCCAGGACTCTGATGTGGGCTATGGGCCTTCCCAGTAGCAACCCAGCCGCTGTGCCAGGTTCCTGCCCCTCCTCCAGGTCGTACTCACTGATTATACACTCACTGTGCCTCAGACGTAGGACATGGAGCTCCTGTTCTAACTGGGCTGAAGGAATGACTTAGAAGGAGCCGGGGCAGCTCACGCACTCGAAGGGGGAAAAGGAGAGGCAGGCGTGGGAGAGGCCGGAGAACCAGAGAGGGAAGTGGGAGCCACGCTGTGGTCAGTGGGACTTGGGCTGAGGTGGCGCAGTTATGCACAAGCTGAAGGAGCTTCAGTGGCAGAAACGGTCGTGGAAGCTGGACAGGAAGAGAAAATGCTTTCCCGAAGGTACCTTTTATCCTGAGACGACTTCTAAGGCTTTTTCTCGTTGTGAAAGTTCCAGAAGTTGACGTGAGATTGTGATTCGGGATTTCACGTTTTTAAAGGCATGCTTCCTTTTCGTTAAAGCACAGGCTTCCTTCACTGAATAGAGTTTCATAAATAAAGGAAAGACAGCCTTCATGACAAAGTAGAATGAAAAGATGTCGTGAAAAATATACATTTTTTTCCCAAAGTAGGGAGGGCTTGATTGTATGTAAAGTGGTGCTATAAATAAGCATTCTGAAATCTACAACACAATTTAGGGGAAGAGCGAAGTTTGCTATTGCAGCTCATTTAAACCTACATTCCCTGAGCTGAGACGGCCCGGGGAGCTCTATTTCCTTGGATTCACAGCTCCCAGAACATGGGCTGCGCGATGCTTAGTTACTTACCTCACCCGTCAGCAGAGTTCAGCAGTGGTGCTAGCCTTGGTTCAAGAACACGGCAGCATTATCAGCGCTAACCTGTGCAGCAGCATTAAAGCTATTTTTGGTGATAATGTCTTTTAAAATGCATTATTTTTAATTAGAACTTGGGTTGGAGTCAAGGAGGGTCACTAAAAAAAAAACTTTAATCATATTCCAGCTACTTTGTAAAATCTTTACAACATTCAATTATTTCTATCCAGTGTCGCACAAGCAACATTTGGGAACCGATTAAAACAATTCTTAAAGCAAATTATAGCACTGTCAGAAAACAAGAAATCAGGATGTCAAAACACAAGGATATTTCCATGCAAAATGTCTTGCAAGCATCTCTGACAGCTGATTTCTGTCTGCTTGCTATATTAGTTTCATTAATTTGGTTCACATCAAGCAAAAGAAAAAAATGCTTTCATACGTTTGCTATTGGAAATAAAAATCCTCAAATGAATAATATTCCCAAAGATAACCAAAGTAGCCATGTGGGGAAATTTTATGTTTTAATTTTATCCAAGCTTACTCAGCACTGTAAAAAATCTATGTACAGGTTTATGGCTGTGGAAATGTGGAAATTCCAAAATAACTGCTTTTTTTTGCAGTAAATCTACATCTATAAAATTTCAGCCTCTACTAATATGTAAATGCCATTAGACATAAATTTTATTTGTTGCTTCCAAGGCAGAGCCAAACGTAACAGTGTGCAGCGTGTCATGCATTTGATGTACATGTAAAAGTGAACTCATGAACCACAGAGGGCCGAGCCATGTTTCCTAAAGTATATTGTGGTTTTGATTTTGTTATTTGTACTTGAAGTGGATAGAAGATTAAAGATTTTTATTTTCTTTACAGCTCCAGACAAACTTGAGACGTTCGTTAGAAAGGTGAAGCCGTGGCCAGCAGGTAAGATGCTCGGAGCCCCGGCTCTGCGCTGCTCTTTGTTCTGGCTTCCTGTCCGTGCACACCCTGTGCTGCTGCTGTGACGGCTGCAGTAGCTGGGTCCCTTCCCCCGACCTGGGAGACTTGCCTGCTGAATGCATTTCCGGTGCACGTCAGAGTTGCAGTGGTGCCCCACAGGGTCAGTGAGTGAGTGTGCTTTGCATGTATGCAAGTGTGAGTGTGTGTTCCAGCGAAGCCAAGCCCTGACTCAGTGCCACGCAGCAAATGTGCTGCACCACGTGAGCGTGTGCACCAGTGTCTGCTGTCCCTCTTTGAGAGACTTGTCAAGGACTCATATATCCAGTGCTCACAAATGTTATGATATTGGGTTTTAGCTGAAATACAGCAGGACTCTGAATCATGGAGTTTATATTTATAGCCACTGTAACAGTGCCTACCTGTTGGCAGCTACAATGTTACATGAATCAGTTCTAGTCTTCTAAGTAATAAGAGGTAGATGATTATTTGGTGGACAGACGAATCATGCATTTTAGATGAAGAAGTTTCCGAAGCAGTTTGAGGTGGATTCAGGGTCACACACGTGCACGCATGGACGCTCACCCACACGCCTGTGTTCTCTGTCGCTGACTTCATTGTCCAGCAGCTCACCACCGTGTGCAGGTGCTCCCCAAACCTCTGAACCTGCACTTCGATGTTCCCCTGCTGGCGAGAGCTTCTCTCTGAGTACTTAGCAAAGGTCTCGGGACTGAGTCATTCTTGTAACTCCCTTCCTTCCCCTCACGGTGACCTCGGGGGTGAGGAGGGTTGGCTGTCGTTGTGGGTGTGTGTCTAGTTTCAGAGCCGTAGTCCAGTGTCTGCGGAAGGGAGGGAAATAAGAAAGAGGCTCCCAGAGGCACACATCAGTGCGCTGGCCCCACACGCAGGGTGCAAAGCTGCTAAAGCAAGCAGTACAACAGCCCGCACAGCAGAGTGGCAGGGAATTACGGGGGAGCATACAGGACGCCCTCCCTCCTGGTTTGTGCTGTCTGTCCCTGTCTGTTAGCATGAGCCTTCCAGTGTCGACCTCACTCTCACCAGACCCCTGCTCAGATATCAGAAGCCAGGTCCCGGCATATATGTCAGGTGCAGGCAACTCAGACCCAAGGGGCCAGGTGATTGCATGTGGCCAGCATGACTGACTCAGTTAGTGAGCACTGGAGAATCGGGCTGGACACCCACCGCGCAGCGTTTTGTCAGACTTGTTCAGCAGTGAAGGTCTTCATCCCATGCTGCACTCTGCCCTTGCTCGTGGCCCTGCCTCTCTTGGCCTCCCGCCAAAATCCCTTAAGTAAATATGGTCTCCTGGCTCCCCGATTACTTACAAACAGAACATAGCAGAACCCAGAAGCTCTGCGATGTTGGTCCTTGCTGAATGCCGCCTTTTGGTAGAAATGATCATATAATTGCTGAAGTACAAGCAGGCCTTCGCCTGCAGGACAGATGGACAAAGGCCCCTGATTTGTCAGCATCTCAGGAGAGCACAGTCGGAAAACTGGAGCCCTGAGAGGAAGCTGGGGACTCAACAGCAGCTGGACTGAGGCACTCAGGAGGAGGAGGAGGCTTAAAGCATGTGTGTGCGTGTGCTTGCACCCATGTGTGCAGGGAAGGGAGTGCCTAGGGGAGGTTTATGCATTATTACTTTTGCTCACAACTGCATGCTGTTGAATCTTCGCCATCTAAGTTTGTGAATAACATTCCCAGCACCTTGAGGTCAGCAGCCTTTGGAATGTGTTGAGAAAAGCCAAGCGCTGTGCTGTGGGTGCAGGACGGCTGAATGCACCCAGACTTCCGCGGGGGCAGCTGATCTGGCTGCTGGGAAGGTCTGGGCCTGTGCAGGAGCGGTTGACTCTGAAGCTGTGCATCGCAGCAGTAGAAATAATCCGATGCGCCAGTTCTGTTCCCTTGGTGTGTGCGCACATGCCCTCTGCCCCGTTTCCAAAGCATGCTGTACCGCTTGGGTTTCCACAGATCCAGCTTGGAACACAGGCAGTGACCCGGTCACTCCTACATGAAGTGCAGCACTGTGTTCTGGGCTGCCACAGATGCCTGGGGTCTCTGAACAGACAGCACTGACACCAGCTCTGTGGTTTCCATTTGGCTGGGACGTGGCTTTCACATAAGCCCTGAATTGGCCCCCCACCAGCCCAGAGAACACGGGCAATGTCTGGAGGCCCCAGAGTCAACAGCGCCAGGCTTAGAGCAAGACTTCCACCAGGTTCCTTAAATAGAAGCCTGGTTAGGGAAAACTTTGGATATATTGGAATCTCATTTTAAGGACATTTTATCACATAAAACCAGAGTTTCTACTAGATTTAGTTGTAAATCTCTTCTGATAGATTTTTACCAGTTGAAACAAGGGTCCAAATGATCTTTAGGGGAAAAAGGCAACAACTTGGTCAGTTATTGGCACTGGGGTGGCTCAATTCTGAGTAATCTGGAATTTGCCAATGACCGTGAAATTCCTTTTAGCTATTTTGCTTCTTCACTAAGAAAATGTAAAATTAAAATGGATTTCGCCTGTGCAGGTGTGCTTTGCCTTAAGCATTTCTATTTCTGAATCTTCGATTTATGAGGATTAATCTGGGGTGGATACTTTCTTCAGGTGAAGAACTTACTGCTTCTAAGTGACGATGAAAAGGATCTCTGCAAAATTGCAAATTCTGAAATGTGTATAGATAGTTTGATCCATTTTGTGGTGTAGGAAGCACAAATATTAATTAAAGAAAATTTAATACAATAAGCTGCTAGTTTTCTAACAGCAGTGACTTTGAGTAAATGCCGTCATGAAGGTACACATAAGTGTTGCATCTGTAAACCCTGTCCCAGGGATGGGCTTTCTGGTTCTCCACACGCTGATGAGAATGGTGTAAGAGTCTACAGCTTATGTCAAGGTGGTCATTCACATGTGCCAAAATTAAGACATTTTGTTTTCTATTCAGTGTGAGTGTTTAGCAGCATTAACGCAACTGAACAGATTTACGTGGAAGGCAGTAGAGTGTCATGGAAATACCAAATTCATATTGGAAAATCATAATATAATCAGAAAACACAGTCAGATGTAATCCAATACAAAACCCTACCGATGATTCCCAAGATTTCTGCAGCGTCACATAGTATTCCTTTATTCATTCATACAGGCATTCGTCCATCCACTCTCCCATTCCACCAGCGAGCACACATCTCATACCCAGGAGGTCAGTGCCCAGGGGACACCTTGCACCCAAGTGTCCCAGGTGATGGTGAGAGCTTTGCTGGGCTCACAGGAGCAAAGAGGAGGAGCCACCACGTCTGTTCCAGGGAGATGAAGGAGAGTGGGGTTGTGAGCTGCACAGAGACCAGGCAGCTAACCCGGTCAGGGCGAGAGCCTGGGCCTCCTCGGTGCCCCGGACACTGGCGTGCGCTTCCGTGCCATGGGGCTGCACCTTAGTACTCCTGCATTTTATCACTTCTTAATTTTCAAACTTTTCTCAAGGGCAACAAAGAGAAATAGACAGACACAGAGAGATGATAGCAATAAAGAGAAAGATGTCACTTCCGCTGCTCCACTCTCCGAATACAATGGTTGGGACGTGGCCCAGAGCTGCAGCCAGGAACTCGATCCAAGTCTGCCATGTCAGTGGCAGGAACCTAACTCCCTCCATGAGTCAGCACCACTGCCTCCAGAGGTGCCTTAGCCAGGAGCTGGAGTCAGGCTCCAGAGCTGGGGCTTAAACCCAGGCACTCAGAGTGGGAGCGTGGGGTCTTAACAGTGTCTTAGCCACTTGGCCACCACCAGCCCATCGCTTACTTAAAAGCCTCCATTGAGAACACAAAAGAACTGGTCACCACAGCACCACAGCACCCAGAGACTCGGCTAGATTGCCCACAAGGACAAGTTACTAAATAACCATCGCCTGCAGCCCCATCGAAGCTATAATTTGCAGAATAAATTTGGCCACCTCTTCCTGACAAGGTCTTCCTTCCCGCTGAGGTCTGGATTCAAACAGGAGACCCCACATCTACACTGGAGGATTCACTGGCAAACTCTGGGTCTCAGAGCCATCCTTCTTCAAATGGACATAATAAATTCTGTCTTTTAGAATTTTGTTCTGAAGAGTCGAGATCAGCATCTCTAATTTCTAGCACACAGTAAGTAGGTCCAATGTGGTCATTAGTTTTTCTCTTAACTATGAGAGATTGCCACCACACCCTGAAAACAGTTCCCAGACAAAAGATCAATGATAAATGTGAATTTACACATACATAACACATATGTTTTCTGTGAAAAGCATCATACATGATTTGCTAATTGTGTGTAAAGAAAATAATTTTAAATAACTGTTATAAAAGACTGGCAAACCTGAGAGATCTGTACCACCACAATATAGGAGAAGTGCTTGAATATAAAATGGTGAAAAATCCGTGAAGATGAAAGCCAAGTCATGAGCGAAGTGGGTGGGAACTGAGTGATGGACTGTAGAAGTGTGCTGGCCTGAGGCCCACGTCAGCGCTGTGGCCAGGCTCATGTCGAGGGTGGGGCAGGGGACTCCAACAGGGGGCTTGAGTGAAAGGGCCTAGGATGGGAGGTGTGGTGATGTGTCTAGGTGAACCCTGTGTGACCCAGCCCTGGTGTCCTGGCTGGGGAAGATCAGACTTGAAGAGCACCCAGGCCTGCAGACACAGGAGCTCCTGTGGTGCCGCGAGGGGCCACGAGCCGGGAAGGCGGGAAGCTGGGAAAGGCAAGGAGATGGGTCCTGACCGGAGCAGGTGAAGATGCAGCCAGCTAGCTCTGAGGCCTCTGGTCTCTGACCCCAGCATCCACCAGCAGCAGACGTGGGGTTTCGAGCCATCGCGTCTGTGGCATTTCGTCATAGCGACAACCAGAAACTAACAGAGGCCCAAACATACGCATAAAGGGAGAAGTCTGAAAGTGACAGGTAGAATGAGGGAATCCAGCAGTCGAAGACTGTGTCTCCTATTTGTGT